AAAAAAGTTAATTTGCTTTGTTTCAAAACTAAGTGTTAATCTTTGAAGGCTTTTTTTTTTTTTTTTTTGTCATATTGATACTAAAGTCAATAATTTGTGTTAATCTTCTGTAATAAGAAACATAATTTCTTTATCAGCTCATAGATCAAGACTTTTTGGCTCATGTAATAGAATTTGTTGTTTAAGTTTTGTTAGCCCAACTGAAAACTTTGAACTTCCAAGTTGATGATGACTAGTCATTAAATCATATATTTATGGGGTTTTTTTTTAGAACCTAGCTACAATAACCAGCTACACTGCCAGCAGCTTTTAGTGCTTCCTCTCATGCACCACTTTCAGACCTCTTTTAATTAGCTCTTTCTAATTCATAAAAGCTGTATTTTTCTTTTTTAATGTGTTGCTGTCTTTGAAGTCTTTCCTTTTCTAATTTGGTAGCATTTGCAGCATTTGGTAGTGTTTTTTTCCTCATCTAGTCGGGTTGATATTCTATAAATCTTAGTATAGTGCTCATGTTGCCTCTATCATTTCTTTCCTTGTAGAATTTCTTTCTGCATTAGTAGCTGTCTTTTTGTACTAAATTGTTGAAGTTCTTAACAGTGGCATAACAGACTTTATCACTATATTCTGGCTGATCTCACTTTGGGGTGGGAGAATGCATTAAATTCTTGGTTCCTTTCTATCCCTGCTTTTTGTGTTCTATGTTCATGTGAGATTCCCTTTTAGCATTCATATATCCAAATTATTTTGCTATTTTGCATACCTTACTGCATGTTTTATGCCCCACACTGTTCATATAATTTTTTCTTCTTTGTGATTTGTTTCTGTATTGCTTGTATAAATTTATATTTCCATAGGTAGGAGAAAAAACATTGAAAGGTTTAATTCCTGAAGTAAAAGGATATCTTATATAGCCAGCAGTACAGGCATTTCGTATTCAAATCTAATAATGTAATTATGCTCTGCAAATGGGACTTTCAGAGTGGCTAGAAAAAGTGATGCCCAGGCTCTGCATCCTGACATGAAAAGCAGTCTGCTTTGCAGTTAGTGCAGGTTGAATTCCACGTTCTTTCTAATATTAGCAATTTGGGTTGTACAATCTAATACAAAAAGAAGAAATATTTTCAGGTGAACATTTGTATCATCATTTCTGAGTTGTCTTAGACTTAGTGTCCATCTTTGTTTGGACTGACATTTGGAAGTGGAAAGTGTTAATAAATCTCTGGTGTCTGAAAGCAAACACGTGCTATTGCCCTGTGTCTGTAACGCATACCTTTTCTGACTGAATTTGAAGTCTGTGCATTCATAGCTGACTTGAATGACTTCAATCTTCTCCTGTTATCTAAAAGCAACAGCTTTGTATAGAGTAGTTGCTGTAGTCTGTGTTGTAACTCTCAAGACTGGATCCATCCTGTGAAATATTTCCATGTAGTCTATAGTTTTGTTTTGATTTCTGGAGGTGGCATTTTAATTTTATGTGTGAGTGCTAGATTAAAGATATTTAAAAACTTTAAAAGAGATATTAAATGGTCTATTTCGTGGCATTTAATTTAGATCAGCTGAAACATTCAAGCCAAAATCATACTTGCTATGAGTTCTTATGCAACGTTTCTGAGAACTGAAGGACTTCAAGGACTCTAGTTAATATCCTTAAGTATTCACAGTAACAAGTCTTCATTTTGTTATAGTGAACATAGCAGAATATGTTTCTCTTGTTTTCAATATTCTATGTAGCAACGGTATTCCATAGGTTACTGAAACTACTGTAGAGAGGCCATCAGTTTGATTTGGACCAAATTAGTATTTTTAACTTTCACTAGAGAATTTTGGTGGGTTTGGATATTGAAATAACTTTTTGTCTGCCTTGCAGTCAGGTATGAAGCATATTGGCTGGTGTTCTGAAGATCAGAGTATTGGATCTTAGTCTGATGAGGGTTGTGTTTGAATTTGGTTTACTGATAACTTGAAATAATTATTTTAATTGCAGAAATCCTTTAGTTACATAGTTACATACTCAGTAGTCAGCATATCATTTAGTTGTCTAAATCAATTTTGATCATGGCAGCAGTTGTAAGCAATAGAATATGATGTCCATTGGAAGTATACACGGGGAGCTTGTTATATAGGAGCATATGATAAGATACCATCTCTGGAAATCTACTTCGCAAATTAAAAGTTAGATTTTGTGCTAAACACAACCTACCATTTCAAATTAAATTTAACTAACATTTATTATTAAATCTCCACACGGGAACTTTAGGTTTGCTATAAGTGTTCCAGACTCTTTTTCCTAGTCATTTTGTGAGACCCAGTTTTTCATCTCTTGAAAGTTTTTAGGGTTGAATATTTTAAAATGCTGTCATTGATTAATTTTTGTTGTTGTTGTTGTGAAATGGCTTGATAATGGTAGGTTCAAATAGTCATTTTAATTTGAAAATTCAACACATTCTGCATCTTTCAGTATCCAGGAAGCAAGTTCAAACTTTCATTTTGTTGTGCCAAGCATAAGTGGAGTTTGCTTCAGAGAATTTTGGGCTCTGTATAAAGGCATGCAGAGCAAATAATAGTTGTTCAGGTTGTCAGCCAAACAAACAAACTAGACCTCTCAATCAAAAGGGATTTTGTGCTAGTAACAGTTACAAGTATATTTGTAGGATTGTTGTTTTACGAAATTTTTAATGTGCTTGCACATTGAGAAGCCTGTTCAGTGTTGGTTTGAACTTGTGTGAATGGGGGTGACTTGAATTTATTTAGCTATGAGGTTACATCCGTGGAAGGACTAACTCTGATCATGTATCTGTATTTGTGCTTCTTTAAGCAGTAAAACCATAACAGAGGGTCATAATTTCTAAAATGATAGATTGTTTTCCTTTTCTTCTCAAACACTTCGGCTATTAATGAAAAAATGTTGTGTTTGCTGGCTTCTGTTCAGCTATTCTGGATGTACAGTGTGCTAATGTAAATCAGCAGTTTCTGCTTCCTCAGCAGCTGCAGAGCAAAACTGACAAGCTTCTGGTCATTTTTATTATTGCCATTCAGAAATTGTTTGAATAGCTGTGAAAGTGTCCAGTAGCATGTATGCCTGCTGTAGTGATATTTGCAGACAGAGCTGAGCTTATGAGTAGGGAGATGGAAAGAAAGAGTGCATTTATAAGCCAACAGTGTGAGAGAAGAGGCAAAGAGCTCTGTATTCCTTCGCTTGGGAGTCCTTAAGATGAATTTGGAGCTCTGTTATATAAAAGACATGCATCCAGCTGGCTAAAAGTCATGAGTTCTTAAATGGACTCTGGGGAAAGCAGTTATCTAACTTTATAGCTGGATATAAGGCAGCCTTTACAAGTGTGTTCTGTTGGGGAACATCATCATATTGTGCCCTGAGAAGCTGTCTCCTAAAATTTTCAGTTCTTTCTGCTGCTGAGTCTGGTTTTGTCTGCTGCATGGGAAAGAAACAGCCAGGCAAGAATGCTTAACTTCTACAGCATTCCTCCCCTCCTGCACCATTCTGGGAGCTCTTGTATGGCTGAACAGCAGCTGCTGCTGTCCTCCTTCCCAGAAGCACACTAGGAAGGGGTACCAGTGTGGCCTGCAACATGAAGGAATGTGAACAGGCCACGCAAGTAACTATTGTTGTTTGTGGACACAGGAGAAGGTGCCAGGAAAGAAAAAGTATTGAGTATCTTTCATGTGAATGCTTAATTGAAGTCCTGTGCTTACATGTGTATTTTGATTTTTATTTTTTTTTTTTTTCTTGAAAGCTGGCACTCTTCTTCTAAGTTTCTTACTGCAAGGTCTCAGGAAGTATCTGGGGCTTTAAGAATTATTTTCCTGAAATAGAGATATGCTTATTTTCAGTGTTTCCCAAAGTGCATATCATAAACTGGATGGTAGATTCAGCATGCACTGAAAGTTATGGCATCGACTTTATATTCACCTTCTAATAAAAGCACATTTCTTGAATCTTGATACCCAACCACTGTGAATAACATACAGAGGAAAGAAAATTATGAAATATAGTGATATAATGGCAGGTGGGAATAGAGAACATTTGTCAACTGTTGCTTTAGAAACAGCACCATCAGCCTGTGAGGTGGCTAAAGATCACCTGACAGTGAAATTCAGTGTATTCCAAAGCCTTGGAAACTGGAAGCTTTCTTCACATCTTAATTGTATGTTTTACCAGTGCTTTAATCTGTATTCTTTGCACTGAATTAGATCTTTGTGGTGTTAACTATTATTCAAGGAGAAACACAAAACCTCGACAACTAGACTCTTATTATTTTTAATGTTGTTTGAAATGTGTGTATGTTTTTAGACTTCTAATGGATATCTTCTGACTTGATAGCCTGAATAGTTCTAGGTGGTCTACTACTAGAAAAATGGATTGTACTAATTCTTCATAGAAGAAAATACTGATAACGTGAAAAGCACAAAACATGTTTATAAAGAAAATGTGGACTTGTTCTTTTTAAAAATGATTCCTCTCACATTCTATTCAGCTACTATTTTAAGGGGTAATTATAGTTCATTCACTGTGAACGACCATTAGTGGCACTAATGAGGTCTAAATAATTGGGAGAGATGAGGAATATGGTATTTGGCAGATCCTTGCAGGCTGTTATGGGATCTAATTGAAGTACAAAGTTTAGAAGAACTAAATAATTCTAAATAGTACAAAGTTTAGAAGAACTAAAGAATAAGTATCTCGGAGTACTTTTAAAGGTTATTGCTAAAATGCAGTACAAAAAATTGCACTTGAAGTATTTCAAGAAAAGATGTGCATATTGTATACTAGCTTAATTCCTTCTATAAAGAACAGAAACTCTTAAAATACAAAGTTAGTACCTGTTGTGGAATGAATGGAAAAGAGGAAAAATGGTAATTTTGATGTAGAATTAGTTTGACTTGTATTATTCTTTGTCCTTTGATGACAGTAAAAAGCAGTTAATTCCAAGAACGTTTACGTGAGAGACTTTACTAAATAAACCTTTTATTTCTCCTTTTAGTCAGCAGATAAGCAGCGAGCCCTGGAAGAAACCAAAGCCTACACAACCCAGTCATTAGCAAGCGTAGCCTATCTGATCAACACTTTGGCCAACAATGTTCTCCAAATGCTGGATATCCAAGCATCCCAGCTTCGGCGCATGGAATCTTCAATCAACCATATTTCACAAGTGAGATTTTTTTCCTGATTTCTTTTTTCCCCCTCTTTGTTCTTGAGATTATACAGTAAGTGAAACTCTCACCTGACATTTTGTGAATGAGAAAAATAGTCATATTTAAAACAGAAGGGTGCATTTTTTCTAATATTAATTCTGAGAATGGGTCTCCCTATGTGATTTTCTATCTGTGTTAGTGTGAGCATTTTACATAGGATAAGAAAGTAAATGTATTTATGGTCAGTTTACTGTTGGAGAGGGGTCCATTCTGCATAAGTGACAAGGACAGAAAAATAGCTAATGGAAAAGTCAGAACATTATGTTAAGGGATAGATTAAGCTTCTCGACTCCTATTCGGTGACTTACTGTACTTGGTATTTATTGGCTACAGGCACTTAAAATTAAAGAAATGTGAAATGGGTGGTGGAAATCAATACTTGTCATCTTTTTACTTTTCCTGTTGCTGTAATACTGGCATCTAATGACAGAAGCATAGATGACAAAAGTAGTTTGCTTCTGGCTTTTTTTAATAAAACGTAGTTTGCAATGACATGAACAGAAGGCAAAATTAATGTGTCACGTTTGTGCATGGCTGCAGAACTCCTGCCATTTTTTGCAGTTTTTTTGAGCAGCAATAAATTAAGCTACTATTTTTAGGAACCCATGTCCCATCACCATACTGATGGGAGAATTTTGACTGCCAAAATGGGCTGAGGATGGATGACAGATTTATTGGAGGGCTTACATGCAAATGGTGGATTAGAAGAGAAATTACAAGTAATGATACAGCACTTCCTGTTTTTCTGTTACTGAAAAGCTGGTTTGCATCCTTACTGAATATTTTGTGTCTTATTTGACCAATAAATTTTGGCTGCTAAGGTTTCTTGATCTCCCTGTGATAATGTCATAAATTAGAATGAAGAATATGGTGGTATTTAGAAAGACGTTTGAAAATAGGAGCTGTCTAAGGTAGGAGATAAGCAGATTGGGCTGATCTGTTAACTTGCTGGTGCTGAAAGTGTTGTTAAGCTAGTAGAGGTTTGAACCAGCAAAAGAAGTGAATAATTTTATGCTGGCTTAATGGGCTGAATTGGCTCATTGAGAGGTCAGGTGAATTCAAGAGCAGGTGCAAAGGAAGGGGTGGGGGGGACTTTCCCTTCTGCTAGTAGTACACTATTAGATTGCCTCAGTTATCTAACTGCATCTTCAAAAATAAGCTGAGAAGTTTGATTTCTTCTGCTGCATGCTTATTGTTAGTCCATGGACATGTTAATTAATATTTTTCCCCCCAGAAAATGTCACAAATTACTCTGTGTGTGTGTGTGCATGTGCTATATATACGCCGTGTATGTGTGTATATGCCTCTGCGTGTATATGCATATGTGCTTCTTGACAGGCTAGTGCCAGCTGTTCAATTATTTGAGTGCCCAATACAAAAGACAGTATATGAATAAAAATATTCAGAGTTCACTGGATTTTTAATTTTATCCATGTGGAAAGTTCATTTTGTCACACAGTTTCTGTAAAGTAGCTTTTGGAGAAATGGTCATGGCATTTAAAATGTTTTCCTTCTGAGAAGCTGGGATATATGCAGTTTGAGATGCTAAGTTAGATTGGTTTTGATGCTTATTACAAATGGCTAGGTATTTAAAATGGAGCACTAAATGAAGCCTAATTAAGATGTATCTGCCAAAAGTCATGGGCTGCACCTGAAAAAAACAATAAAAAGTTGTGTAGTTTATTTCTTTTTAGAGATCACTGTAAAGTTGAAAATTGAGTTTTGCTTTGTTTTTTCTTTTTTTTTTTTGAGTCTGCATCATACATACGTAGGATGCTCCTCAAATCTTCATGGAAGAAATGATATCAGAGGAGCAGATAGTATTTGAATTTTGGATATTATATACATGAAGTCTGTTGATCCAAGGAACTTAAGTTGAATTCAGTATGTTCAGAAATGGCTTCATCCCATGATACTAATGCTGTAGATGATTGTATTATCTGTCTTAATTTTTGTGGGGTTTTGTGGTTTTGTTGGTTTTTTTTTAATAAATTTATTTTGTCACAGTTTCTGTGTAATAAATAACTTTTCAGGAAATTTGTTTATACTTCTCATGGAACAAGCAGAAGACTGTTTTGTGTTGGGTGTAAAGTTTAGTGGGCTGTTTCTAGTACCACTTAAAATACCTTATTGCCAAATTATGATGTCAGTCAGTCTGACTTGAAATGAAGTCAATAACATAGAACAGAAAACATGTTGGTAATTACCATCTCCTTGCAGTGCTTTATTGCATTAATGCTTTGGTCAGTAGGTATTGATATTTAAGTTTAGAAAAATCTAATGCAAATTAAGATATCTGGATGTGTAATCCTGCTTTTACTTCTGATTTGGAATTCTACATATTCTTCAAAGAAGGGAGCAAAATCGTTTGGCTTTTTTAAAAAGTAAGAAAACTTTTTCAAAAGTGCTTGTTTTGTTCAAGTGTAGCTCAAACTGGAAAAGATGTGATTAACTTTAGAAAATAAAATATTTTAGTTCTCTGTTCATTGATAAAAGCCAATTTGTATCACTTTCTGCGTTTCCCTCTGTATGCCAACTTAATCAAAGAGCTGAAAAGGAAATTGATAATAATTTGTGGTTTTTCATATTATATATATGTCCTGAATAAGGAAATCGCTACTATTGAAACTATTTTTATGCCAGTGATTAAATCCTATTGATTTAAAATTTAGCATTACTTTGGTTTGGTCTGGAAGCTGATGAATCTATTCTTATTTGCCTTCTGGAACCTTGTCCAGAACTAGATGATATGCAGTGTTTCATATTTGGCTGAAAATGTAAATCCTAAATACAGATCATCTGTATAAATTTTTATACTTGTGAAAAAAATTGTGTTAAAGTTTTCTAAGTTAGCAGACACTGTGAAGTGTTGTTAACATCCAAATTCTTTAACTTAATCTGGCAGGCTTTCAGGTTTTAATATTTGTATGATGAAAAAAAAAAATTTCAGGTTTGGTTATAAAATGCTCTTAGTTAGCTAGGTCATCTTTAAAACATTTCTTTGGTGCTGTTTATATAAACAAGGATGTTATCACAAAGATCAGTGATAGTGATGAGTTATCTCCAATGGCACTGCATGGTGGACAAATCTGCTTCATCCTTTTCTTATGGAATCCGAGGCCCATGATAGTGTCTGTGAGAATAGGTATTGGATAGACCGTAGGCTTGAACTTCTCTGTAGTCAGCACGTGTTGCTTAGCTGAACCGTGGGGACGTGTGAGCTGGTTGGTCTCTGCAGGGAAGTTCACTTGGACCTTCCATTGATAAGTCAGTCAAGGCTTGTAACCATTTTCAGTTGTCTTATTCTTGCAAGTTACAAGAATGGCCAAACTCTTTCAAAAATGTTAAAGCAAGCCTAATTTTTCACATTATATATTGCTTGTTTATGGAGCAACTAGCTTTACAGCATCTTTTGTATCATTATGGCCTCTCTCTTTGTGTATAAATTACATACAACTTGAGTTGAAGAAATTAATGTCACATTTCTAACATTTCAAAATTAGGCAGTTACTCATTTTAAAGTAATAATCCAGTTTTCAAGGTAATTTGCAATTAGTTTGTTTAAATTCTATTGAATTTGATTAAAAAAAAAAAAAAGGCCAGCAACACTGTATGTAAGCAACGTTTTCTTCTAATATTTTGTTAACTGAATTTTAAAAGCGCAGACTAACAGGCTGACAATAAATTGATAAATTTAAATTTGAACGTTTTGAGAAGAGGAAGAAATCAAGGCTTCTTGAGACTTTTATTTCTGAAATTTCACTACAGTTTAGACTTTCAAAGTGCTGTTGTGGTTTAACCCCTGCTGGCTGCTAAGCACCACACAGCTGCTCACTCCTTCCCAACCCAACAGGTGGTTGTGGGGAGAGAATCAGAAGGGTAAAAGTGAGAAAACTTGTGGGTTAAGATAAAAACAGTTTAAGAACTGAAATGTAATAATAACCATGATTATGATAAAGATAAGAAATTTTAATGAAAAGGAAAATAGCAGAGAGAAATAAAACACTAGAAAGAGAGGTGATGCAAATGAAAACAATTACCACCAACCAACCGATGCCCAGCCAGTCCCCAAGCAGTAGCCCTCTCGCCAGCCTCCACCAAGCTTTATATTGCTGGCCATGACGTTGTATGGTATAGAATATCCTTTTGGTCAGTTGAGGTCAGCTGTCCCAGCTGTGTCCCCTCCCAACTTCTTGTGCAGTCCCAGCCTGCTTTCTCGTGGGGTGGTGGGAGAAGCAGAAAAGGCCTTGACTGTGTGTAAGCACTGCTCAGCAGTAACATCCCTGTATTATCAATGCTCTTTTCAGCCCAAATCCAAAGCTCATACTAGCTAATGTGAAAAAAAATAACTCTATCCCAGCCAAAACCAGCACAACTGCTAACTTAATACTTTGAGTAATTTCACTCACAAGTAGAAGAGATTTTTTTCTCAAAACTCTGAGTTCAGTGACTTTTGAGTGATGTGGTAAAAAATGTTAAATTTGAAATCCTAGAAATATTTTAATGTTTTTTCTATGATAATTTGTACAGATCTTGCGGCTGTTTTTATTGAATTCAGTATATAAACTTGATGTTTCAAAATAGCCAGAAAATTCCTAATAGAAAAAAATAAAGTGGTTGCCTTATTACAGGCATCTTGAAAGGTATCTGAAGAGATGATAGTAATGAGCTTTTGCCAAAGATAATGGAGCTATGGGGAAAAAAAAATTTTAATAATGCTGTCAGGAGACTGAAATTTCTTATTAGAAAACAGTGTTTTTAAGTTATAGAAGGGCACAGTGTACCCCTTCTGCTTTTCCTGACAGACTTTCCAAGTCAGATGTTTTGTTATTCCAGCTCTAACCCCAAAAACTTCTTAGTAGAAGTTTCTAAACTGCTGAATAAACATTCTGCTAGCGTTCTGCTGTCTCACTCAAGGGATTTATGCTGGTACTGGAGGCAATAATTACCTATATGTTGAGGATAAATGTTTTCATTTTATTTAGTAGCAGGTTAATCTTTGTTCCTTCTCTACTAATCAAATACCTCAATGTTCCTTTCTGCTGTTTTGTATGTGTCTTAAGATCTTACGACTCCAGTAGCCTACTAAGTAAGAAACTGAAATTTTTTAAAAACCTGCCTGCCAGCAAAGTTGCTTTTCAATACAAATTTAGGAATATGTACCGGAATGAGGTGCAGTTTTTATAGTCTTAGGCATTGCATAGGTATTCAAGATAAAAGAGATGTTCTGAATCATCATACAAGAGAATTCCCATTAGATGAGCTAGAGGTTTTAATCAGTTTTTATGCATTTCATTGTTTGTTACTGTAGTCATGCCTCACTGATCTCCATAGTCCTTAAGGAAACTGGTTGTACTCACAACTCCTATGAATAATTAAAAAACCATGCTTTTCATTCATGGAAACAAGTTTCCACAGTGCCAAGGTACCATTGCTCCCATAACATGTACATTAAATATTTGTACTCACATTGCATTTATAGATAAATGCATAAGAAAATATTAAAAGAACATCTTCAAAGTTGCAGAGGTCAAGCACTTGAAGAGAAAGGCAGAAATCATCTTGCCAACACTGCACTAATTACTTTCTTTCTGATTTGTAGATCGAAATTAAGGCTCCAAGAGTGTAGTGTCCAAGGCATAAACTAGTTTTGTATGACCAGATTCAGACCCATAAGATTTCAATGTTTCAATACATTTGAAACATCATAGAGCGTTTGAGGTGCAGCTGCTGTTGCAGCTGAGGTTGTTTAACATTCTAGCAAATGATACCAGAGGCCTGTGAGACAAAGAACACACAAGAGTCAGTGTAATGTTTCTGCAGTTCTCTAGTGACATGTCCAGATCACAGATGAAGTGAGGTAATTGTAGAGATTGAATTCTTCAGTGATATTAAACATAAGAGTGTCCTCCAAGTTGTTCCTATCACATACCATTAGCTTATCAAGAAAGTATGTGCTTTCTAACTCGTCAGTAGATGAGATGATGATTCTGTATACAATCTCTTTGGTATGACTGCTACTTTTTCCAGAACTTCTCCTTCCACTCTGCTGCAGAAGCAAGGGTCTGACACAGAGAAGGGATGTGATGGGAAGGGAAGGGAGAAACCTGTGATGGAAGATAAGATGTTGAATCTTACCGTGATGCAGAACAGAACACTTCTGATACTCTGGCCTGGAACATGTTTATGTGCTCTGTTTGCACTGGTGCTTGTACAGTCAATAGTATCATAAGAGCTGTGAAGATCTGATCTGCGCTATTGTACTAGGGGATGATGTATAGACCTGCCCATCACAGGGAGCTTCAGGAACAACTTCAGCAAAATTGTTTGTAGAGTGATTTAGTTGTTAAGTAGTCATAGAAATATACGTGTTTCCGTTAAGCTTGTATGAACTGTGAATTTCTACTGAGTTTATATATTGGCCAAATCTGGGTGGGTTTGTGTGAGTGATGAAGGATGTGTCCCAGATAGTTTAACTACCCATACTAAATTTCCAATCATTGCTCAACAAACTCAAGCTTTCCAAAGAGAGGGTTGCCAACATATTTTGACCTTGAATAATCTATTATTCTGTAGATCTGTTTTAAGAAATAGCTGTACAGCTTTAGTAGAACCCTTACAGTTCTAGAGATGTACATGAAAAACCTGTATTTGGTGCTTAATTTTAGAAAAGTTGCAGGATCTTGAAAATATGTTGCTGAGTAATAATAGGTAATTTTTATAGGTTGTAATTTAAACTTCTGTATAATGCCCCTGGTATTTGTGGAAATTCTTCTCTGGAAAGAATGAAGAAGCAACTTCTTGGAAGTCATGTTTCTTTAAAAATTTTTGTAGCTTTTAAGGTTGTGATGATTGCACATGGTAATACAGGGTCCATTTTGCTTGTTTTGCTATCAGTAGCACAAACAAAATGGTAAAATAGTGTAACCAACCACCCTGTCCCAATCCCTGGCCACAGAAAAATAAAATTTAAAAATGCCTGTTACGAAAATGAGTTCTAATTTGTACTCATTCCTTAGTTACCACAGTGCCTGTCTCCTAACTGTGAAAAGGCTTTCTGGTACCATTCATAGTGACTAAAGCGGTAGCAAGAAATCCTCTGAATGTTTAGAAATCCTAAGGTGGTGTGACTCTGCTTGTTTTCTTACTTTTTTTTACCCTATAGCTAAAAAACTTGTTCACAAGTCTGGCAATTTTCCTATAAGGAAAGCAGTTTTGTAAAGAAGGAATTCTTTTTGTTTTAAGTAATGCAAGCAACTCTGTGCACCGTGATTTAAGAGATTTTATTTTCCTGGAAGAGACAGATAGACTTTTTGGTAACTTTTCTGTAGTCTTGTTACCAAACAAGATTCAAGTACATGTTTGTAGGCAATAAATTTTAAGCAGGACTTTGTCCTACCCTGGAGATTCTCCTGTGGTCCTTGTAATAGATGGAGGCAGGGATTTTCAGTGATGGCTTTAGACATTCCAAGTGAAGGCACGGGGCGTAGCCACTGGCTTCATTGTGGGTAAATTAGTACTGACCACCTTCTAAAATCCAATCATGATTTTGTGATGAGTGATTTGTAATGACCTTGTTGATTTGTCTGAGTGAAATTTTATTCTATCATGTAAGTACCAGTCCTAGTTTAGCAAACTGTTTTACAGTGTGAGAAAACCTGCTTATGGTTTGTTTTTCAAGTCATAAAAGTTAAGGTTTGGGAAGGTATCCTTACACTTCATCTAATTGGAGACTATTTCAAAGATAAGCTTAGAGAGGAAAAATTAAAAAGGGTAATAAAAAGAATGGTATAAAACGGTGTCAGTAAATTAATGGGAACTACTATGAATGGAAAGGAGACGGAATTTTGCTTGACTGTCAAGAGTGAGAGTACCAGTAAACCCAAAGAACCCATGGCTATTAGTGAAGGGTTAGAGGTGGCAAGTTCAACAGTAAAGTGAGCAAAGATGATGTAACCAAGTGTATGTAGTGATATGTTTAGCACAGTATACAGAGATCTTAGAAACGTTGGGACTGATTCAATTTTTTTTTATACTGACTCTGTATTCAAATGCATACCATTGTTAGTAAATACACTGCGTCTTTTGTAGACGGTGGACATTCACAAAGAGAAAGTTGCTAGAAGAGAAATTGGTATCTTGACTACAAACAAAAACACCTCAAGAACTCACAAAATCATTGCACCAGCTAACTTGGAGCGACCTGTTCGCTACATCAGGAAACCTATTGATTATACAATTCTAGATGATATTGGACATGGAGTGAAGGTAGGTGATATTGTTAAAACAGCCAAACTGCAAATACATTGTCTTTGTATATTTTCAAAATGATCTGATGCTTTTCATGGTAATATACCAGTTTCTCCTTGCCTGGCCAGTGTGTCTATAAACATAAGAGGAGTCCTGTCCAATTTGCAGTTGCCCCTTTCTGTCCCCTTGCCCAGTGTGTCTAAACCTTGCAACCCCACTAAATCTTAGTTCTGAGCGTATTCAGGACTATGAGTCACCTTTTAAAATGCTTCTGAATACCTACTTGTGTGATGCTGCTTGTTACTGTTTGAATCAGTTGCCAGGGATATACCTGGGGACTGAAAGGCTAATGACTGTCACTTTTCTGCCTGAATTAGAACCACAAAGTATGATCCAGCTGTAATTGCCACTGGTTTACTTTGAAGCTCGCCCAAAGAAAGGGTTTGCCTAAGAAGTATTATGTGCTTCCTTTTCTTCTTTCTGTCAGAGTCAGTTATATCCATATCCTGTGATGTGCTTTGTTAAAGTGAGCTCTCTACAACTTTTGTGCCATATGGGGGTTCAGAATGGGAATATTGCTGCCAAGTTCGAAGCCAGATGGTTCTCCCTTTTAAGACTAGGAAAAAAGGAGGAATTTCAGGGCAAAGATCAGACTGAGACACAACTGGTGGCTGTTGTATGCAAGTGTTAGATCAGTGTACACAACAGCAGTAATATCATGTGTGAGATGAGGTATGTGCTTTTTGAAGGCACAACCTGAATGTAAACACAGTCTTAGCAGGTGTGAGCTCATTGTTAACTTGTGCTGCCAGGAAAACAAATACGGAAATGAGAACACTGACAGTGTTAAAGTTCCAGGAGAAAAAAGGTAAATAACACAACACAGTGTCAATTTTATGTGACAAACTAACAAATCTGTAAACTTGCTAAGTAGCAGTAAGGTGAGATGCTTCTTCCAGTCAAAGTACACCAGAGTTTCTTTTGCTTGACACCAAACTGGATTAGATTATCTATGTTGTTCAATTTGAACTGTCTTTTTGGATAGTCATTTAAATGGCAATAGGTTGTTTAAACAACCTCTTAAAGTTAAAAATCTGAACAGTGCTATTTAAATATCTTTCCCAAGCAATTTTGCTCAAGGTCTTCTCAACATCCTTTGTTTGCAGAAAATCTTTTTTCCCCATTTCTTACCAAAATAGTCAATCTCAGTTTGTAACCCTAAACAGATTTTACAAAGACAAGTGACTCTCTAAGTTTGATTTGGAAAACCAAACCAAACAAAAAAACCCCCCAGCATTAATAGCTACAGTTTTGACCAGGAAATTATTATCAGTCTTGTGTTAAAATCTACAGCCAGTTCTTACAAATTTTGAATTTATGCAGGTCAGCAGAACTCCTTCTGGATATGGATGGAGCATATTAACCTGTAGGATTAGTTGCTAATATTTTAATGATCAGTTTTGTTTTAATGAGATTATTTTAGAACTCATTAAAGAATAGTTTTTAATTGCTCTGCAGCACAATCTTATTTAGCACTGTCTCTAAACCATTATAATTGGTGTCCCACTTACCTCAATGTAGCAGAATCATACTCACTGTGATGCAATGAATTACGTTCTTCTGAAAGAACATAGTTCATCAAGTGGATGATGACTCAAATGTGTATTTTCATCCATTTGTTACGCTTGTGATATGCTTGAAACATATTACAAATGTTATTTACAATGTCCTATATTTATCTAGAAAATGAAAAAGTATTATGTACTTGTGAAACAATAAGCAGAGAACTTGACATCACACAGATTAGTTGACTAGATCTCTGGCTGAAGAACAAAGAGAAAAAAAGAAAAAGGGTAGGAGCTTTAAATTTGCCTGTTCATAGCTCTTTATTGTTTGAGCTGTGGTGTTTTTCCCTTCCAATGAGTTCAGAAGTTATTGGATCAATAGTATTAAAGTTCCAGTTAGCATCAGGGTGCCTCAGTCTGCATTCTTTGTCCTCTTTCTGCTTTTTCTGCTATAGGGCTTCCCCTCTAGTACTTGGACTAGAATTATGCATTGTCACGACAATCAAAGAGCTAATGCAGCAAGCATTCATTGCAGCCCCTGAGGGAGATGGCAGACTGGACAGAGAATAGTACAGGAGAAAAAGGGAGCATCCTTGGCCAAGAAATCCAGTATGCCATGTTGAGGGAAGTAGTATAGGCACTTGAGCATGTATTCCTTCCATTCAAAATTTCAAAGTATCAGTGGATACCATCTTCAGGAAAAGGTGCTCTACAACTTGGTTTCTTAATAGATGAGAGAGAACTTAAGTGCTGCTGTATCATTCCAGCAGTCCCTCCTCATCTTCCCTTTCTGAAGCTACAATGCTGCAAAAATATGAAGAAGCTTTTGTTTGGAAGAGACTTACTTTCAATTTTTTCAAATGTTTCCTGAGATACAAAGTCTTCCAATCTGTTCTGCCCTTTGATCCATTCAAAGTGGTGTGTTTTAAGGCACTATCATTGTGCCTTAAAGGCAGTGCTGCGGAGGAAATGGGCTCAGCTCATGGGCCAGCTTATGTAACTGGCTACTCTGTTTGGCCAGTACAGGGGGATTTGGTTTTCTAGTGTAGCTGTGTGAAGCAGAGACTGTTTCGGTAAAACTTTAAACTCAAAGACAGGAGGTTTTCTAGTAGATCAGATAATTTTTCTTTTTTAATACATTAAGGTCTATTTATGATCTAAATGGATGAAAGGGAGTAGTCACTCTGGATGCTCCATTGTTGAGATTCTGCATATTTAATGTTTGATGTTACAAAATGTGTAAGAAATGCAAGAATAGGTTTAGATCTGAAAACAAATCACATGATATTGAAACGGAAGGACTAGAATTTTTGAAAAAAAAGTCAATGGGAAAGAAGATAAGGGGGAAAGATCTTGGACTTCATGTCAGAAAGCTAGCACTTAGGCTTTAAAATAAGATTTCACTGCTGGTTAATGTCTACAAAAATACTGGTATGTGGTGCAGTATCCATATAGAGTGCTGTACTTCTTACAAGGTGTAATGATTTGCTCTTGATCTTTATTCAAGAGATATCTCATGGCTTCAGGTTAAGAGTTAACTAACAGCATTGTCTAGGAAAGAACATATATTAGCTTAATATTCTAGAGGCTTCTGTTTCAGCTAGTTGTAAATATGCTAATGCATGTAACAATTTAAATGAGCTCAGGGTTTTGATAAGGCTATTCTTTGACAGCTCAAATAAATTAATCTCTGAGGTTAATCCATCTAGATCTCATGATCCATTCTGAAAGCAGCTCACTTTTTGTTAGCACTGTAAGAACTGGAGTAAACAGTGTACAAGCATTTGAGCATTAATTTTAAGTTGTTAATATAAAGGCTTTGTGGTCAATGTATATTAAAATTTTCAGCTTGAAAATCTTTTGTTCATGACACATTCTGCTTTAACCACTCTTTCTATGATCTACTGATACATTATTTTGTTAATGCTGAATGCTTAACTTTTTTCTTTCTTTTTCCTTTCTCTTCATATCCTGAAGTTCCAACTAACCTCTCAATGCTTTTTTTCCTTACCTCTTTTATTTGCTCCATTTATGCATTAAGTGGTTGCTTAGATTTAAGGTAAGAAACCCCAGGGCTGGATATCCATTCTTATTCTTCTGAGACTATTACACATGGGGAGATGATTAACATGAATATTACTGATTGTTTGAAACAACACCCGCTCTCCTCCTGTGTATCCACCCTTCTGTTGAATGATTTCATTGCAGATAAACATTTTGTGATATAAATTGATGTATTTACGTAAGGAAGCCAATACAGTTAATTTTAAAAGCTTTCTGGCACAGTATTGGCTGCCTTCAGCGTATCTACTAGATCATTTTCAAGGGAGGAATATTATGCTAACCTTGTGTAGACAAGAAGATACAGGGAATAGGTAGCAGCTGAATATGAGCCTCCCCCTGTGTAATATTCTTTTTATCCTATATACGGTGTAAGTTATAACTTGATTTGGATTAATGTTTCAATGTGAGATCGCTCAGATAATGAGCTCCAAAAGTGTGTAACTAATTCAAATCTGTGTATTATTTTTTAAAGTTGCAGTATCCTTAATTTTTTTCAGAAACTGCTTGCACTATTTACATACCGAGGCACTCATATAAAAATTTTCACAAGTTTCATGGTTTTGTAAAATATTTAATAACCCTTTAACGACAAGCTAAGCGATTTATTTAGTTGAATATTAAATGAATAGTGCATCAAAGAGCTCAGACTGAAGTAGGTCATATTCTCAAGGCTCTTAAAGAAGTTTAAATGTTAGTAGCCTTAGTGGCTACAGAAATAGCAATAAAAAGCATCACATCAATTAGACAAGCAGTTAAATGAAGTTATGTGATGCTATGCTGGTGTTCATAGCCCATTAATTAATAGATAGGTTATAGCCTTTATTGAGTATTGTGATATCATCATCCACCTGAAGTGCTACTGGCTTAGGAAAAGAGGGAATGAATGTTTTTTAGTAGCAGCAGCCACAGTTCTAAAGAGAAAACTGTATTTTAGGGCATAGGATACTAATGTGTAGTGTGAGCATATTAATTAATGAATTTCCAAGTTGATCTGAAATGTTTTTCATGACTAAGTATTTTCCGTGACTGGAAAAAGTTAAAAGAAAATTCTGCACATTCCTGAAGAGATCGCTTGTAAACCCAGGTATTACTGTAGATATCCCAGCGATGTCCCTGTGGAGTTGGCCAGATGGTACTTTTAGTAAGGTATTTAAGTGTGTGTAGCACATCTGTTCACAATGGAAAATCCACACAAAATGGATACTTACGCTGAGTATGCCTTATTCCTGGCTCGGTTCATATTGGCTGATGTTTTTTTCAGTGATTTTAAAAAAAATATATTTGCAAACTCAGTTTTCTTTGTTGCTCTCTGCAGTTGCAGTTATAAGCAATGACCATCCTAAAAAAAAATTAGAATTGCATAATTATAGATTATGTGTGAACTGTCATATCTGTGCATTATCTGCAGTGGTGATAAGAGTCTTTTCAGCTTTTCAGAGAATTTTTTTTGTATTTATAGGTTTGGAATGAAAATAACTTTTTTGTTGTTATAACACCAGTTTCTTTATTTTTACCTGGTCAGAAGTTAGATTTCAGAAATCACAGTATGTCAATCAGTTTCTCATTGCGAAAACGTGAGGGTTTAAAAAAAAACAAAACGAAAAAAGGCAGAAAACTGTGCAGCACATCTCAGTGGACGTAAGTTATTCTTTAAGTCTCACTGTAGTCGCCGTACATCAACCTGAAAGAAGAAAACTACTGTACATCAGCCTGAAAGAAGCAGCATCTACTAACCCTCATTCCATGTGAATAATAATTTTTGTTCACTTACGAGAGACTGGATATGAAGTGATTAGCTTGCATTTATCTTTCATGGCTGCAAAGAAAACTTAGTCTTAGCTAACAGTCACAATATTAAACTGAGTGACTGTACGAGGGTAAATGTGCTTGTGTCTGGGTAACTTAATTTAAATTTCAAACAGATTTTGAAGAAAATTCCAGTTATAAGTCAGAGGAGTATCTGTACCATCGTCTGTCAGCAAATCAATTGAAAATGGGATTGTGTAAGCCTTTCTGTATTTACCAGACTTGGCTCTTCAATTACTTTACATAGGTGGATGTGGTAAAAATAAGTAAATTCACTTGTTGAAGCTTCTACTTGTGGTCATTTGCCACGACAGCGTTGAAATTTAGACATTTCACTTCCATATCAACTGGCTAATCAACTTACATACACATGGTTTAATTAGACATGCAGAGTAAGTATTTGAGTGGCTGACAGCAGCCTGAAAAAGAATTTACTTTCAGGTAGCAGATGATGGGCCAAAAATCCGTTCATCCTCTCTGTAGTGTTAAGATGAAGCAAAGCATGGGAAGGTAGTTTGCATTCAGCCTTGGGCTGGTTTTGCAGGAGTTGGGTATAAAATTGCTTGAGAAGGTTACGTAGCTGCTTAAAGTTTCTGAATATAATCAATGGAACATCACTGATAGGACACTTTTTCTTAGTAGATTTTGGGCAAGAGTTGATTCTTTTGACATTCTGAAAGTTCTAGAAAATAATGATATGACTATAAAACACCACTTAAAAAATTCTGGGCCGAGACCAAATTTGGCTTTAGAAAGTACTCTTCTGAGGTTTGATTGTGTGGAATATCTGGTATTCAGGATTTTTGGAAAAAAGCCAACCCACTTTTTTGGAGATGTTCTTCAGAAGAGTAAAAATGTGGATTGAAACCTTTGTTGTGGGTAAGTGCCTTACAGTCACCTAGATGCACAGTGCATTGGTGCAAATAGTTTTTGCGTGTCTGATGACCAGCTTTTCTATCTGACCAACTCTGTATTGCTGCACTTCTTGCTCAGGGAATTTTTTTCCTCGTGAAAACACTCCCAGGAATTGAGTCGAATGAACTGCAGGATTTCTCAGTTTTAACCAGTTTATTTCATTACAGATTTCTTATATGGTAGATTGCTAAAGAAGCTCAGTCTGTTAAATGATTATAAAAATGTAACTATGAAGGAAACTCAGTCATATGTAGGACCATAAGAAGGTGATTTAATCACTGAGATCTATGAAAAACTAGTTGTCAAAACCAGAAATTGGACACCTAAGTCTTAATTATTAAAAAAAATTAAACCGATCATTTTCTAAGGGTTGTACTCAGTCCAATATCATGTCTTGAAGTCATCATGTTACCTTTCTAAAACTGATACTGTGGCTCATGTAGAAAATATTGGATGAAATACTGTTGTACCCTTTTTAAACGGAATGGTCCATAGTGGTCCATTTACTTTACAGTTCATTTGTGGCTGTCACTGTGGAGCTGGATCTCGGGGCATCCTCCAGGATATGTTACTTACCAAAGATCTGCTTAAGTTGTTTATGCAGTTTCTTCCTCAGCAAAACGTCAAATCTGAGCTACAGTGCTGACAGAGTTACAGCTTTGGTTGAAAACATTTTATTCTGAAGTACAGTTGCTTGCTAATTCACATGTACTAAAAACTTCCTCAAGGTATCCAATGGGGGGAAAAAAAAAAAGCTTATCTACAATCTCCCTAGAATTATTTGGTGTTCCTCCATGTAATTTCAGGTAGAAATATTTTCTACTTTTTTGCTTCCATGGGAAGATGTAAAAAAAAAATTTTGGAAAAATCCTTGCATGCATTCTGTGTAGACCCTGCACACTACTCGTCTGTTCACAGGCTTGTCTTCTTGTCTTCCTGCTTTTAGAAAAGTCACCCGGGGCTTTTTCTGAGCTTTGTGCCCACATCATTACTGCCTCTCTTAATTTTTTCTTCCTTTTTTTTTTTTCTTTTTTCTTTTTTTTTTTTTTTGCATAGTGGTTAACTGTTTTGGCAGTTGTGAGCAAAGGCAGAGATACTCCTTTGTGTTTCTCTCTTAATTTTTTCTTCCTTTTTTTTTTTTCTTTTTTTTTTTTTTTTTTTTTTAGCATAGTGGTTAACTGTTTTGGCAGTTGTGAGCAAAGGCAGAGATACTCCTTTGTGTTTCTGGTTGCAGGCTCTGTTTTGCCACGCAGTTTCGTAAAAGAATTTGCAAGCTCTTCACTACAAAGCAGCCACATATATGTGGGGTCCTGCAGTTGAACAAACCACCAACAGACAGATGCGTTCCTCTGCTTTCACCCTCTAATTAAACCAGTTGCATCTGGATAGCTGCAGCTGTCTGGAGCTAGGGGAGGTGTTGCCAGAGAAACAGTGCCACTTGTGTAGAATTCCTACTCCAGAAAATGGATTTTTGAAACTTCATAGGAAATGGGAATACGACCTTGAGTTTAGTGGCTGCTTTGGATTTTAGAAGTTTGTATGAGGGATGTGCATGGATGAGGATTTGAGTATAGAAACTGTCTTTGTTAACTGGATGTGCAAAATGGGGGGAGGCATTAATAACTTCTTTTTTCTTTTTTTTTTCTTTCTCCTACTAGAAGTTGTCTTAGAAAGGGGCAGTTGGAAACGTTACAGTGTTTGTATGTCAACTGAAGTTGCAACTTGTATAGTTTTAAATTTTCTTTTTTCCTTTTTTTTTTTAATTTTCCTGAAAGCAGTTTGTAACCTTTTTTAGTGTCTTGCATGGTATTATTTCCGCAGATCTGTCCATTTTGATCAGAACTGTTGGAATAATCTTACATTCTTCATTTCTCCTCTGTGATTATTTGGCCATAAGCCAAAGAGGAAGTTACTCAGATAGGGTTGTTTAACTTACAGTAGCTGGTCTTAAACCCATCGAGCCTGTCAGATTTGAAGACAGCCCTGTAAATTTAATTACTTGCTCTTTCAGCATTTCAATTTTGATGTTGAAAAGTCATTCAAAGAGCCTGAAACTAAACTTACTGTCAGTGCATTTCCCCATCTTTCTGTTTAGTCTTTCATAAGGACAGTTTCTTTGTGACTAAAGTTTCTTGGTTAAAAAAGCATCACTTTTTCCTTGGCCATGTTTTCTAAAGCTTTCTTCCCATCCTATGTCAAGGATATGTTTGTTCATGGGGTTAATGAAAGTAACTAGCAGTCACTGGAGTTCTGCATTAGTCAGGCAAGTATTACTTCCACTTCTTACTGTATCCTGTGTGATGTCACTGCATCCTTCACCTCTGCTGTCCTTTCTGTTCTTGTAGCTCTAGCCCGGTGGAAGCCTAAAATGCCGTTTTTGTTCCTGCAATGATTGTACGCAAATAAGATTCTTTATCATTAAATATATGACATTTTATATTAACTGTAACGTGATAGCTAGTGGTTACATCATCTAGTCAGAAACAATAGTGTAGCCAGTTAAAACACCTAAATTTACTATTCAGGGGTACACAGACTGGTCTATGTTTGTTGTCATCTAAAGACATCAAAAACCCTTGCTCCACTAGGCTTAATGGGCTGTTTGAAAAATAGCAAGTGACAATGCAGCGAGTAGTTAATTACAGTGGGGGTGTTTTGTTTGTTTGAGGGTTTTTTGGACAACTCAAGGTGGGTGAAACAGGCGTCTTTAATGAAAGAGGAAATCCAGGAGGTGCTGCAACTTTAAAAAAAAATTCAGATGTTGTGCTATTTCTTAATGTTCCGTGTATAGAATAAAATATGCTTCATTTTACACTTTCCCTCTTCCCTTCAAGTAGTTATAGTTCAGTGCTTACCTCATCCCTCACTTGAATTAACTTTAGGTTTCTTGTTGCTTAAGAGTTGGCTTAAAGGACTTTATAATGCTGTGCAAAAGAATTTTGTCTTAAATTGACATTAGAAAGTACTCTTGCACAAGTAAATCCAAACATCTGTTTTTGAATCTGACAAAAACCCCTTCCAACGCTTGGTTTTCTTTTTCTCCCAGCAGATTGAAAATGTGATAGCACTGGGATTATTTAGAGCCAGGGAATTGAGTTTCAGTGGATTAGAATACTGAATATATTACTCTTTACACTGTTGTCAATATTTATCAATTCACAAATCTAAACATTGCCAGAGTTCTATGTGAGATGTTATAGTTGAATTTTAAAGGAGTAATTTGCCTTTAATGATGTATGCAAATACTCTTAGTGCCTTGATCACTGTGCCTTTTTTATATGAGAGACAGGGGCAGTAGGCAAGATTTAAGTTTTGGAAATAAGAAACACTCTGAAATAGACCATGACAGGAACAGCAGCAGAAGGGACCTAAGCGTACTTATTTAGGTTTGTTGAATATAGCTGTGTCTAAGCAATAGTTTGACCATTCATAAATCAAAGGTGTTTAACAGGGACTTGTAGGAAGATGGTGTACTGATTTCTGTAAGGGTGCACACATTGAGAGAATTATCTGTGGCTGGCAGTATACAAATAAGCAAAATGCCTACATTGGTAACAATTGTTTATGATTCCTAGATTGATACATCAGTCAGGAATGCAGATGAGTATTTTAAAGAAGTTAGAGTAAATTCTTTTATATAAAGGTTACTTCATTTGTATTTTAACCTGAAAGAGGGAGAGGGGACAACTGCAGTTACATCATACCACATCACTGCTAAATATTTTTCTCCCTGCCCATTTATTTATAAATTCTTAGAGATTAAATTGCTACAGATTTAGTGGGTAGAAAAAGTACATCTTTGTATTTTTCTCCATATAGCTTTCTCTCTATGTTTGCTTGTACATAAATAATATTTACAGTAAATATTATCTTTAAAAAATGTTGATGTACTGTGAAAACATTAAAACATTAATGAAGTATATTTGGAGATTACTTTGGCTTCTCCATATTTGTATGAATTACATTAAATTGTGGCCTATTAGGTAAACCTTAGTATTTTTAAAGAGTATTCAAAAATATTTTTGCAAATTTACCATTCAGTAGTGCAACCTGAAATAACTGCCTTTATCTCAAAAGATGACTGGGAGGTTTAACCAAGTGAGTTCCAGTGTTTGTATTGTGTGTGATTTCATGTTTATGTGATAGCCTAAAGGCAAATTCACTTTTTGCATATACAATTTTTAAAAACCCTATGTAATAAAGAGTCCTTTGAGCACAACTCTTGACTTCTAGCAGAGTGGAAATTGCAAATAAAATGCATGGCCTCTCAATTTTTTTGTTTGTTTAAACCTTCCCCTGTTTAGACTTAATTGCTAAAGGAATCTTGGTATCTCTACCCCTAGAAGCTGAGCTTAGCAAAGGCTGTTTTTCTCCCCGTTCTCTCATGCAGGTCAGCACACAGAATATGAAGATGGGTGGGCTGCCTCGTACAACACCACCCACCCAGAAGCCACCAAGTCCACCGATGTCCGGAAAAGGAACTATTGGGTAAGTGCAGTTACCTAATGTTTAAATGGCTTTGGTGAACAGAAGGGAAAAAAGGGAAGATACTTTCTTTTTCTGTACTGTGGGGGTTTGTTTGTTTGTTTGTTTTGGGTTGGTTTTTTTTGTTTAACCATTCACAAAGGTCAAGAGGTGCTATATCTGCATCGTCTTATACTAATCAAGTCTTATTAATCAGTTAGCACATTTCTGCTGAAAGAGAGTGAGCATCATAAGCCTTTCCCAACAGGAACCTTTTTGTCATTGCAGAACACTTACAACTACAAGCTTTAGAGTAAAAAGTCATTAACTGTGTGGCTTTGACAGGTGGTGCTAAACAACTGGAAAATTAGTATGTGGCACTGTTCATTAAGTATTTGTGCTGTGTGTGATAGAAGTACTTTCCTGTTAAGTCTATGAACTTGACTTTGACTTTAGGGAAATGTGTTATAACTGGGATGAATCCTGTTTGTTGGTATGTGATTATGTATATACATACAGACTGTGGTGCTTTATTTTAAAACAAGATATGGATTATTTTTAAAATGAGTGGGATGTGCAACACAGAGTTTATTAATAGGAAGATTGAAGCACATGAAGAGCATCCTCAATTGTTTTTTCTCATTCTACGAAGTAGATACTGCAAACTTACAGGAAAAACATATATATTTTTTAGCTCCCATTACTGGTTAATATGTATCTATCTTTTAAAGAATGAAAAATCTTTGGTTTTGTCTGTATTATCTTAATTTGCTTCTGAAATACGCTTGTCCTTGTGTAGGCGTCACTCTCCCTACCGTACCTTGGAGCCAGTACGTCCTCCAGTGGTACCAAATGACTACGTGCCTAGCCCCACGCGCAATATGGCTCCCTCACAGCAGAGCCCCGTTAGAACAGCTTCTGTCAATCAGAGGAATCGCACATACAGGTATTCAGTGTGGTCCTGTACAAAGCGTGCTTAGTATTGCATAAGCATATGAACAAAAATATGATCATTATCAAATCCATCTGCACCTCTACAGTGAAGCTTGCAAATTCACATGGACTGGGAATGTCACTTGGCATGATGAGAATGCACTTTAGTAAAACCGGAATAGTGAATCATGTTAAGATTATTCACTTAATCCTCTAGTCACTTTTATTGCTATGACTTAGTTACAGTACTTAATTAATTACTAAAATTGTGAAGTCTTTCACTTAGGTAGATCATGATAGTATTTTACGAAATGCTTACAAAACTGGGAAGACTTTGTACACAACTTGACTTCTACATGTTGAAGGACTGCATAATATGCTTATAGTTCACATTTTTGTTTGAACAGTCTCTGATGTTTATAGATTGGGTAGCTGAAAAAGAGCATTGTATTTTGAAGATACTGGTAACTTCAAACACAGAATCAAACGTTCTGCAAAAGGCTAGCTTTGCCTCTAGGATAATAAGAGTTTCATGATGTAACAGTTCTAAATAGTTCCCTTAAAATCTTTAATTTTTAAACATCCTAAGTACTTGAGGATAGCTAAACAGATGGACGTAAAACGTAAGAAAAACTAACTTCTCCTTTACTATCTTACAATTTCGGTAGTCTCATATGAAAGCATATGAATCAGAATCTATAGAGTCTACGTGTTTTATAAGGTATAGGAAAAAGATCTATATTTGCTCAGTAGGTGTTTAACAATATTGGAATTACATGCTTTGGAACAAGTTCCAGAAGTGTTTCATTTTTGGGCAATTTCACTAAGACTAACTGAAAAACCTGTTGTGTTGTAGTCAAAGTGAGGAGTCTTAGGAAAACTAAGCTTTATATAGATTTCTATTATCCTTGTTTCTTTTCTCTTGTTCCCTGTTACTTCTCTGAATTAGAAAGGTGCTATATGAGGGGTCTTATGTTTCAACATGCACAGTAGCATATTCATACACTGGGTTATTTTGGTTTCTTACAGCAGCAGTGGGAGTAGTGGAGGAAGCCACCCAAGCAGTCGGAGCAGCAGTCGAGAGAACAGTGGAAGTGGAAGTGTGGGTGTTCCTATTGCTGTTCCCACACCATCTCCTCCCAGTGTCTATCCAGGTAAATAGAAACTTGCTGTTCCTCTTTCTGACTCAGCATTAACCTTTAGTATTTGCAAGTCTCCTAAACACAGCACTGAGTAAACCCCAACAGAAGGCTAAAAGTTCATTATCCAAAAACGTGTGTGCCTTGAAAATGGCTTGCTATTGATAGTATGAGTTTGAATCAAGTGATGTCTTTTCTGGGAGCACTTGATGTGCTCTAGTGCTTCTTTTATATATGAACTTGTTCATCAGATTTTTTTGCGTGGCTTCCTGCAGGTGACTAGGTAGGAAAAATCACCTTTTTCGGTGGGCTGGGGGCTTTTTGTCCTTTTAAGCAAATAAGGGACATTTTTTCATTGGCTGTTCATGCAGTTGTATAGAAGCGTGCTTTTAGAAAACTAGGTGAAATGAGAGGCAGGCACAGAACAAATCCTTAGTACATTAGTGCAAGCCTGAGTTGTCACAAAAAGACAGCTTGTTCTATGTAATCACCCCAGTCTATCCAGAAATAGGAAGTGATATTGGTACTCCTTTTTCCTTTGCCACAACCCTTTCAGTGAAGAAGAGTGTGTAGTTAGCTTGCAGTGTGATCTGACATACGTGATGCTTCTGAGCCAAAGAATGGAAATTTTTGGCTTTCCTCTTCTGTATATTTTCTAATTCGTACAAAAGCTAAAGGCGGTTGTGGTCTAGATGAAAGTAATGAATGAAGTGTAAAGACATCTTTCAGATGTAATGGCTTTCAGTGAAAAGTTCTCGGTTGTTTGCTTCAGACCTGGAAAGAAGTGGATTCACTTTACCCTCATTTACCGTCTACATAGGAATGAGCCTTTCTTTACCAGCTCCATTTTTCTCTCATCTCCTCATGCATTCTAAAATACTATGCATCTAATAAACAGCTAACACTGAATAGTCGAAGGCTTTCTCTAATCCTTGCTAACATATCTCCTTATTAACGCCACCTCTTCCTCCTCTCTTCACTTAGCCCCTGCTGGCTCGGCTGGCACTTCTCCCCTTCCTGCTACCTCTGCTCCTGCCCCCACTCCTCCTGCTCCTGCCCCTTCCTCTGCTGCCCCAGATGCTGCTGCTGCTGCTGCAGGAGCTCAGCCCCTTGCTGATGGCTTCACCTCTCCAACTCCCCCTGCTGTTTCTTCCACACCCTCTACAGGTGAGTGTCTGCTCCAGCTGGGGGGCAGATGAACCCAGATGTGATCACGATCCAAGGCTTTTCACACTTACTTCAGAAGCACTGATTTTTAAAATTTTTTATTTTTTAAAATATAACTAGAGAATGCCTGCTAATACCGAATTATAAGGGAATGTTGATAGTAGACAATTCAAGGCGTGCCAGTTTTATAAACAGCAATTATTTAATTTTATACTCTTATTATTTTTACATTTATATAATTATTTATTACGTTTTCATTTTATTGTGGTTTGGATACTGAGAATCTCATAGAATAATCATGTTTGGGGGGAACCACCACTGATAGTTCTGGGTCTGATTTTTCTCTTTCAGTAATGGAATTTAAAAAAAGTGCATCTAGCAAAGTATAGTTTAAATTACGTGTTTCTTCAGTGCTTTCAAAAGACAAGTCTCCTTTCAATGAACTGATAAAAAGGGCAAATTTTGTGTTCAATGTCAGGTAAAATAGAAATTCTTATTATGCAGAACAGTACTAAAGCACTTTGTTTTAATAGGTGTAACTTATGGTATATATTGCAACTTGCTTCTTTAATGCTTATTCAATCACCCTACATTTTTCATTTTCTCATATGCTGAAGTTGCAGCATTTAGTACTTACTAATCGTACCACTGTTCTGTATCAGCTTTTGATGACGTGCATCAATGCAAACACGTGCATGGTAAAGATCTCCTTTAGACAGCCAATTTCATATATAGCTACCTACGTGTTTTGTTTTATAGTGGAGGCTGGTCACAATGGTGTGAATTGGTTTGTGTATTTCTTAGTGTCAGCCTCTCTTAGTAAGAATTTCACCAAGTGCCAGAAGCATTTATTTTAAGGTGCTGTGATTCATATAAAATTGGAAAATATATACCCTAGAATCCATGACTACGACTAGAAGCTTCCAAACCGTGATGAATTTTGGTATCAGAATATGATCCTGATGTCTAAAGTACATTCATGTTTAGAAGATGAGCTGTGTCATATGGTGCCTCAATCAGTTTTCCATTTTTGGTGCACTGTCAGGATCCCAGTTCTTAAGCCATATTGCTTCTGTATTTTTGGCAAGTTAAAATCAAGCAGAGATTAGTATTTTAATGGCTATAAATTTACTTTCACAATTCCCTAAGAGAAATTTCAGGTTACTTAGTATTTTTAAGATCTCTTGTTTCCCTGTGCTATTAGTGATGTTGCGTGCATGGCTCCTCTGAAATAAAGTATTTGAAGAGACTGGATAGTTTACTGTTTATGAGGTTGTAGTTTTTGGTCCTTAAGAATCCCTTATCCCTCTTTCTTCTCTCCTCCCTTCTGTCCAATCACCACCAATTTCTACCAGTACATTAAGTAACAGTGAGACTGACACATTGGAAAGATGCATTAGCAAAAATGTGAAAAAGCCTATGTGCTAGGTGGATTGCTTCTTAACTGTTCTTCTTCCTCATCTGTAAAAAGTGCATTTTTTGAGATGTACGTAGCTATACAAATCAGGAGGAATGTGAATCTCTGGTTCATGCACTTGCCTTAAGAAGCAAGCAACACAGCAAGCAACTAACATTTTATTTACTGACCTAGTGTGAAGTTTTGCACAGCAATCGAAGTGAAGAACAATGCAGGTTTTAAAAAATCTGAACATTCATTTGTTCTGTTTCTCTGTTTACTTCCCTGCCTGGGTGTCTCCTCAATCCCAGTGACCATCCTTTCTCTTGTTTTCTTGCAAGCTCTGAAATTTACCTCCAGCACAAAAGGTGGAGGCAGAATAGTTAGGGAGCGTAATAACCCATATGGGTATAACAAATCCAGTTTACTGTTATCTACAGTATATAAGCCAGAGAACTTTATGTGAGCATAGAAGATAGCTTGATGGTCTTGCTTCATTTCTTGTTTGCTTAGATTCAGGATCAATTACTCTGATACAGGAAGTGATTAAAATGGAGAGCAAGTTTTTAAGGAGTTGATTCCATTGACAGCTGCCTCAAAGAGTGCCTTTGAGTATGATTGCATGAAGTCCGTCCTTCAAGCAGTTTCTAACATTCTCTTCTCCCCATATGATTCTCTGCATATTTCCTGAACAGCACGAAGATAAGTTAGTATAGTGTTTTTTTAATTGTAGGTCATAGCTGGCACACAGTTTGTACATGTATGTTGCTTAATTGCTGGACTGTGAAGTACTCTATTTTTGTGGGTTTATAAATAACTAAACTTACGAGAAGTTATTACAATACATTATCTAAAATGGATAACTGGGAATTATTTTCTTTCATTTTGAAACTTTGTAGCTTAGACACCTTTGTATTTTCATGCTGGCTTTTGTGCTGAGTACAGGCTGTTGGGAGAGTGGTTTTTTGTGTTACTACTGAGACATCCAGTGTCCTGCCAGTCTGGCAGCTGAACCGGCTGACGGCTCCTAGGATGCAGATTGTCTTAAAAATACCAAAAACCCTTCCAAGCCTCTGATTCTTGAAGGCAGACATCAAAAAGGCAGGCATCGTTCTTCTTTCTGCTAATACATTTCTCCTTCTAACCTAGGTCACCCAGTGCAGTTCTACAGCATGAACAGGCCTGCATCTCGACACACACCCCCAACAATAGGGGGATCTTTGCCATATCGGCGTCCTCCTTCGATCACGTCACAGACAAGCCTTCAGAACCAGATGAACGGGGGACCGTTTTATAACCAGAACCCAGGTGAGAAAGGTTTCCTACTCTGTTGAATTCAATGCAGAGGTGAATGGAGTGGCCTTCAGATCTCTGAAATCTCACGTCTGTCTCCATTGCAGATCTTGCAGTTAGTCTCGGGTAACTCCCAGTCTGTTGCTGGTAGCCATGCCAAGCTGCAGTCCCAGTACAGACAGTTCAGCTTCTCTTATGACAGCTTTGTTGCCAAATAAATTACTTTTGATTTCATGGTTCCTATTAGGCAAGCTTTAGTCCTTTACTACACCATGTGTTACGTATCTGCTTTGACGTGGGGTGGGTATTTGATTTTGTACCAGAACACTAATTCTTCATTAATCAGTCTTTATGTTGTATGCTTTTTCCTTCTGATTAATGTACAGTTCACGAAATTGCACTTGTTGTACAAGGGTAAGCGTTAGACACCGTAGAGACATCCGTGGTGTTGGGCGTGCATGCAATGGAGCTGTGTCATCTGCTAAGTCCAGAGGTGATGTTATTCTAATAGGCAACCTGTCTTAAAAAGCAGGATGAGATATTACAAGGAGTGGTGTGTCCTGTGTGTTAGGCAAAACACAGTAGCTTTTCATCTAAGGAGTCCTTTTCCCTGTGCTTCTGATGCGATGTTAAGGTTTTAATACCAGAGCAGGGGAGACTTTCATTTTTGGCAAAGCTGCAGAAAGATGTAGGAAACATACTGAGGGTTCTTCATTAGGAAATGTTCTATTACCAGCAAGACTGAATGTCAATTTCCAAGCACTACAGTGCGTTTGTGTTTTGTTGTTGTTGTGGTAATTTTTGATGATGGTGTTTTTTTTAACTGAGCACTGAACTTGGAATTAGGTCAAATGCTGCAATCTGTATTTAAGGGATTTGATCAGGTTCAAATATGACTGCTTGTGAGCTACCCTGCAAAGAGATGTGTGTGCTTAACTTGAGAAGGAAATGGATGGTCCTGCTGGGGACAGGGGGGTGGCAGAGGATGTATGTCTAAACTGCAGCCCAGTTGCCTGAAATACGTGGTATTTGTTAAGCACATTATGTGCATATTGTAGGCTGAAGGGGAATAGGCAAAAAGGAAAGGGTAATAGCAGTAAAAGAACCTTTTAGGATTACCTTTGGAGTAAAGAGGATTTTCAGTATATCCCGAGAGTTTCTGACAACTGCTGTGCATTTCTACTTTAGCAAAGGGATAATTCTCTGCAAGCTACCATTGCATTGTTAATAGGTAATCACAGAGGATGCCAAACAGACTTTAAATAAGTTACATAACCACAATTCAGTCTGTGTGCCCAAAAGGAAGATAATGACTGTGGTGATTAGTCACTTGAGCTGCAAATCACAAACAAAATACTTCAATTATAATAGCATACTTAATACAACATAAATGAGCAGTTGTAGGAAGATACTTTTTTTTTTATATTTACCTAGCAGAATATAGAATTTATTAACTTTGCAGTTATACTAAACCGAACTTTTTTGGCCTGTACCTTGAAAAAAGAGGACGCTCAAGCACGTTGCTGAAGCATTGATGAAGACCGTAAGAACAGAGGGTCTGCTGTGTCTGTAAGGAGTGGAGTTAGTAGTGACAAGGGGCCACGATTGCTTCTCAGCATTCCTGAAGAGAGGGAGAAAACACAAACTTGAGAGGTGCAAAAGAGACCTTACGACAGGCAGAGGAGTGTGCTAGCTATGGCTTGTTCTTTGCAAGCTGTTTGGCAATAAAGCAGTACTGTTTTTTCCACTTCATTTTTAGTATGTTGGCATAGTCATTATTGTTTATTCACTTCACTGTTCTTTTGAATGCCACTTCTAAGATAATATAACTTTTCCATTTCATGGTGAAACCTTTTTAACAACTGAAAAGAAAATATTAAGAAATGCAGACCCTAAATGATCTCAGTATATCTCTGTTCCAAAGCCACTCTGGCCAGCCATGCCACTAAACAAGTGTTTCAACTTTGCGACCTTAGATACCAGTATCTAAGCAGTGTAGAGCTCAGCACAGGCTAAAAACCCTGTGGGAGAAACTGGGCAAGCATTGAGATGGTGGCCTGCACTAGCCACTGTTTGTACAGGTGAATTCTTACCAGGCTTGAAGGAATCTAGTGGAAGGTGCTCTTGAGCAATTCTGAATTAATTTACAGCAACTGTGTAGATACCAGTGGTCTGTATGGAAGGAAGCTGGGAAAGAACGTTTAAGCTCACGTTAATCTCATCTTTTGAGACAGCAAGGGACAGTAAGGTTCTTCTGATGCACTTTATAAACAAAGTAATAATTCATACAATATTTATTGTATTGGCTCCTAAAGGTCAAAACTAGCTTAGACTCATTACATATCATATAGAGACAATATAATATGATAGTCCTTGCACCGTGCATAGAGTGAGGCACAAACCAAATGGTTAAGGTAAGCAAGGAATGATGTCAGTAACTGTTAGCATCACCATTTTGATTAAACTACACAGCCTGAACTAAACTAAGGGATTTTTTTTGTATTTGCTTGGAGTGTTTGTCTAGAGTGATTTATTTTTCTACTTTGAAAGCTTCATTATTTCTTTCAAAGAAACTTATATCTCACACGAACAAAGTACACCAAAGGGACCTAGGAAACTGACGCTAGTATCATATGATAGATATGAATTGTAAGAATCCATATGATGTTGAATAGAAGAAACATTTTGAAACTGAACATTTTTATAGCATATATTAATAAAAAGGCAGGGACTTCATAATTGCACAAGAATGCTAAGTCCATGCATATTACTGCATTTCAGTAGGACTTAAAATTCAAGTTCCTTTTTCCTGCTTTGAAAAAATGCAACACTAAATCTTTTTCCAGCTACTGTCGTTACACTTGAAGGAATAAATACCCTCAGAGGTCATGTCATTCAAATCAAAGAAGCTGTAATTAGAAACACATTTCAGTTTTTCTCAAGAACTATCAATTAAATGGTGAGATAATGGAGCTTGCTTTATATGGAGGTACAAGGGTGTTTTTGCAACAAAAAGGATGGTGGCTCTGTTGTGGTTTTTTGTTTGGGGTGTGTGGTTGTGAAAGGAATGGGAATGTGAGTGACAGGAGACGTTCAAAGCACTTCAGATAATAGTTGCTGAAATGAGCAAACAGAAGAAACTTTGAGACATGAACTTTAAATGTCCTGGAGTTCTTTTAATTTGCTATGATGATGTGAATTAATTCTGAAAAATACTACATTATACCTTGCAATTTTCTTACTGGCTCTGGAATGAGTATGGAATTTATTTAGTTCTGTTCTACAAGCTAAATAAATGTTCTGGTTGGTATATGAAGTGTAGACATTTTTCCCCTCATCCTTTTGGACATGACTAAATGTTTTTGTATGCCACTACTAATAAGAAAATTATTTAGTTGTGCTTTTCCTGAGGTGTGCTTTCTGAAAAATAATCTTGTAACTTGCTTAAAGAATATTACTGCATTACTCTTGCAAAGTGATACTAAAGTTAGATAAAAAAAGCCAACTATTTGTTTAACCTAACTAGAGAATTTAAGCTTTCGTTCCTGGCCTAAACCACGGATCAGCGTTATAACACTTGCAGCTGGCTGATAGCATATTCTTTAAATGTGAATTCACATGTATTGTAAAAAGACTGCTCTTCTGGAACCAATAAAAGGGCTGTTCAGAGTTCAGTGGGTGGATGTGGAATCAGGTGGGAAGGAGGTGAGGCAGCGCATCTGGGATAGGCGCTGTTGTTGGGCAGCAGCACAGTGCGCTTGGTTCTACAGTAAGGTCAGAAGTCCCGTGTCTTCCAAGACCGCTCAGTTCTCAAAGGTGTCTTTTTCTGTTTTGCCTAAAATAACTGCCTCACTTGATGGGGTTTTTTGGCCTATGTTTTGGAGAAAACTAGTTATATCCATTTTCATTACTAAGGATTCGTGGATGCTGTTACAGAAGTCACCTCTATAAATAGCAATTTTATCTGAAAGGTGGAGGATTATAGAGAGAGTCCTCTTGATAAATTTGTTAGGTCTGTTCATAAAGTGCTATATTGCTGTAGTAATAAACTTCAACTTACGGAAATATCATTGTCAGATCAGAAAAATACTTGAGCATGGATTCTTAATCTTATGAAAAATAGCTGGGTTGGAAATTTTCAAAAATAGAGAAATCTCCTTGAAGTAAAGATTAGGAATATGCTTAGACCACCTGAGCCTTTTTTCTTTGAATGTCAGCCTTTTTATCTCAGCTTCTTGGCACACTGCTACACTGTCTGAGTGGTGATGATGTCTACTTTCCTGTTTGCTGCTTTGTTGTGTTTCTAATTGAATGCCTCTCTTTTTTAATTTCTGTGGCAGCATCCCTTGCTCCTCCTCCCCCCTCCATCCTACAGGTAACTCCACAGTTACCGCTAATGGGATTTGTGGCCAGAGTTCAAGAAAACAGTAAGTTTGCTGCTTCCTTATGCTATGGTTTATTACTAGATGTGGCTTTTGTTTTGAGTGGATGAAAGTTTTGTCTGTATGCAGCCAGAATTCTGCCTTCTCTACTGCCTCTGCAAGTTTGTCTGAAATTGTGAAGGGAGGGTAAAGGAAATAATTTTATTGCAAGAACCTGATTCTTCCTTTTCTGAATTTTATTATCTCTAGTATATTTCCGCAAGTTCTAGCTATTGGGCCCAGTGCAACTAATTGGGATAGGAAATATTACTTCATCCTGCTACCATGGTTCTAGAGACATTTTCATGGTTATACTACTGCTTATTTTCAGTTTCAGATACTCCTCCCCCCCCACCGCCTGTGGATGAGCCAGTGTTCGATGAATCTCCACCTCCACCCCCACCTCCAGAGGATTATGAGGAGGAGGAAGCAGCTGTAGTGGAGTACAGTGATCCATACGCTGAGGAGGACCCTCCTTGGGCACCAAGGTCCTACTTAGAAAAGGGTAAGTTTAGAGCTAGTAGAGATGGTAGGTTTGTGCTTGCAACAACATTTTGTATAATCTTCTGCCATCCCACTTTGGACATGGAGTCTGCCCCAGACTCATTAGTAGCCAGTACTTGGTATTGTGGTAGAGGTGCTCCTCCATATGGCAACTTAAAGAACGAAAGCTAAGCTACTCTTCTGAGTCTGACTCTTTCACCCCTTTCTCCACAAAGAGAAGATAATGATTAGCTGGCTAATTATCTATTTTTAAATCCTCTGTAATCTACTTAAGACTCACCTTTCAGGAGTCTGCTTAATCCTAATACTCAAACTCATATGAGGCAAAACATGAATGAATGAATTGGCGCTGCAGTTGACCTTGAACTTTGAACGTGTGTGTGTACCTGGAGAAGTGCTGCGATGTGTGTTTGGGGCTCTGGAGGCTGCAATGCTGCATCAAGTGTGGGATGTGGTGTGGGTTTTAGTTGAGCTAAAAGGCGCTGGGTATCTCTAGGACTGACTGAGGTGTTGCTGCATGGCTCCACCTAGATGTCTTCCAGGTGTGCTGAAACATGGTGGAATAGAATTACAGGTAAAATAAACTGAGTGGATAAATGGCCTAGGGGGACTTGAATATGAAAAAATCTACTGCCTGGTATTCTGTGTGAAACAGGGTCACGTACCTCTTAGAGAAGGGCGATACAAAATCTAAAGTTGCAAAGCAACCAGGCATCTCAGCTGAGTGACTGTTAGACACATTTGGTCTTCACCAGGGAGAAAAATTCAAAAACTCCACAAAGATAAATGCAGTGCAGGACCTGAAGAGTGGGGGAAAGATGGAAGAGGCACTGAGGGAGATGGAAGAATATGTCGGAGTTTTTTTGTTATTCTCGCACCCTTGGTCTAGTTGGTGTAAGTGCAAATACCCAGGCTCTGCTGACAAGCTGAGACCATTGGTCAAAGTGGCTGACTTGCAGGGTGTTTACATGACTCGCTCTATCTATTGACCTCTCCACACCCCTGATTGACAGCAAGTGTCACTGTTATTCTGTTGGTGCACACAGGCTCTTTGTTTGATTAAAAGTTGCTTCAGCTTATTCTTGTCAGGGAAGCTTATTTCCATGAGGGAGGACAGGGAGAAAAGGGATCTCATACAAAGTACTCTTGTTGCTGTAGAGTTTGGAGGGTATTCCTGATTATCGATGTGAGTTACCTGGCTTCAAAAAATCAGGTTTTGGAGCGGGGCTCCTGATGCTGCATTTCTTTCTTTGGTGGAGGATGGCAAATTTGTTCAGGTTGGAACCAGTACAGGTCATTTCAGCAAATACTAGATGTGCTGTATTACTTAAAGAACTCCTCCTTTTCAGGCAGTTCTAAGCATGCACAGTATCTGCCCAGTTTCACTGTGATTGATGTATTTTGTGTTGGATGAAAATTTCAGGCATGTTACTTCTGATAGGAGAGTGAATCTCAAGCTTTTTCTCTGTATTTTTCTAGATATAAGACACTCTTTAGCCTAATTCTATGTTTGTATCACTATGTATATTGTGTTTCTGTTATTCCTGCCACCTGGCCCTCAGGAAATCCTCAGTGGCATTTCAGTCAGGAGCAAAAGAGAAAAAGGAGGACCGTGATGCCTGTTTATGGTGTCTTCTGTGTGTGTATGTATGTGTGTGTGTTTGTGGGGAAGAGAAGCTACAAAATCATGTGGCACATGGCCTGGGAAAACAACTTTCTATTTGAAGAAATAATGAAATTTGAATTATAGCATATTGTTCTGATCTGCTTTTCTGTGTGACTTCTATGAGCTTGTGAACTAAAATAATTTATATAGCTTCATGTATGCAGAGGTCTGTTCCATCTGAGCAGGGAGTCCAGGCACTTGTAGTTTGATATTTACAGGGAAAATCACATGGGATAGCAAAACTGTAATGGGAGTCTTTAAAGATAAGCTGGAGAAAGTCAGGCTTTTAGTCAGAATATTTTTCCTGCAGAAAAGTAAAAGCATAGGAAACAAAACATTCTCTCATTGATGTAGAGTCCCATGTAAAAGCATTATTTTGATCTGTATTTTGAAAACTAGAAGACTAAAACATCTCAAAGGTCAGTCTGTTCTTAGAAACACTCATAGAAGTAATTTAAAAAAATGAAGTGCTTACAATGTATGAAGAACTGTCAAATAGTAGTTTTAGGATGACAGAAAAAATAAGATATTGACATAGGGGGGAATTCTGTTTTAGTTATATGAATAGCTCTACTTATATTCAGCCCATGTCTTGAGATTTGACTGCTTTGCTGGAGTTGGGAGAAAAGTGCTTGGCTGTGATTTTTTTTGTAGCAAACAAGCTTTAAAGTTAATGAAAAGCCCCATGCTAAAAGAGGCCTGTGATACGCAAAGATCTGTATACTTATCCTGCTGTGAACTAATAATGCTTTATCTTCTGAAAAATAATTATTTCTATGGCAACTCCTTAAGTTTCTATAAATAGTATTCTGTGCCACATGATTCAAAGCAGACAAAACTCATGGAAGGAAATGACTGTTCGAACACAATTAGCTTCAATAAGCAGAGTAGCAATTCCTAGGATTTGTGCTTGTTCTTTTGGTATGACTGTTCACTTATTTAATTTCCAATGAAAGCACTTCTAATAGCGATAGCTTAGATAACCTTTGCAAAAGTGAGAACGTAGAAGCTGGGGAGGCATCAAATACAGCAGGTTGCCATATTTGAGGTGGGATTCAGTATCATCCTGTTCTGTAAAGGGGTCATGCGGTGTAGGAGGTATATTTAACATTAAGACATGCTTGAACCTACAGCTGAGGAAGGAAGGGAAAAGCAGATCCGTTTTGAACAGAGGGAGAAACTCTTAGGTAGGGTACAGTTACTGGGGATGTTGAACTTGAGGACGCTATCGCATGGCTGTAATAGCAACAGCCAACCAGCAATGTCCAGGAAAGTGCATTGCAATTTTCCACTGAGCTGTTTGGGTGTGTCGTGTGGAAAGGTAAGAAAATGCCCCAACGTTACAAATCAGGTGACCAGAAATGGGTATAATCTAGAAGGAAGAATTGCCCTCATACCACATAGAGAAAGCGTGTGGTCACAGCTATCAGATTTCAGTTGCATAACCAGTCTGGCCTGCATTTGTGGTCAGTTTGATCTAACACAGTTCAGCCAAACTCTGTGTAATTGTTGAAGAACCAAAGATCACTAATTGGAAGAATATCAACCTAAATGAGTAATGCTGTTTTTCATATCTGCACTGAAATGTATTCAGATAGAAACTCAGAGGTCCTGGCTCGCTCTCTCAGGGAAGAATGCCACATCCCGAGTCAGTATTGCTGCTTCCTGTCTCATCTGGAGCCTTATTTGCAATACTGGCCTGGGCTCCTGGTAACTCGTGGTATGGTTCAAGCTCACAGCTTGAACTGGTGGGACTACAGACAGAACATTAAAAAAAGATTAAACAGTCTTTTAGTGAGAGGAACATTGCCAGTACAAAAGTAACGTGCAGGAGGAAGCAACAGGGATATAAAAATAAAACTAGGTTTCAGGTAATTTTATAAGAGGCTTAACAATAAGCAAATTTTCATCACAGATTTGGGGAAGAGTTTCCTACTTGGGATCATGAAATAACAAATCCATTCAGTATCGGAGGGGACTAGAATACACTAAAAAATGAGAAAGAAAGGAGTTGGAAGTTACTGTGATCCTTGGATTATTATTATCAAGAGAACGAAGAATAACAGCACAGTGACTGTAGGAAGAAATGTTTTAAAATAAACAGGTCTAAAAGGCAGTTAAAAAGGATTTCTGAAGGACTTTAATTGAATGTATCATGTGTTCATATAGTGACTTCTGTTTTTCAAGATAAAAATTTACTCATTTCTCCATTTGTGTTTTGTTTCCTTAGAATGAGTTACTTAACAACTGTGCTGGTGTAAGTATATAGAGCCAGCAACATCTGTTTTTTAAATATGCTCTGGTCAAATGTTTGGGAGATTTATTTAAAAATAAATCTCTGTACATACTCTGATTCTCCACCAGGATTGATTTGTATATTTTATTTTATAATCTCTTCGGGATCCAGGTTTCTTTAGTAAATATTTGTATTATTCCTTTGCTCCCTCAAAAGCAAATGACCTCTTTTCTTTTGAAAAGAGTGATGAGTTTAATAGGGTTTTTGGACACTGTGCTCATGAACACATGCTGTTGTTTTTTTCTCCTTGCTTTGGTTTAATCTTCCCATCTATCCCTCGTACAAAATTTTAGGATCCCTGTCCAACATCCGTTTTGTTTCAATGGCAGCACCACATGTTTCGTTGCCAAGTGCTCAGAGCAGTGACTGATGCTATTTGTTAAAGTATTCACAGTCCGGTATACATAATTTTTTGTATGGAACACATAATGATAGGACTTAGAACGGAAAAACATACCAAGTTGATGTCTTTTTTCTGCCATTTCAGGACAGTGCTCTCTTTAATATTTCCCTGTGCTTTGTCCAATTTCTTTGACAGGGTTCCTAACAGCTTTCGTGCATTCAGTAAAACATTCTGCAGCTGTAAGACAAATGTCCTGATGCAGAAGGCATACATTTTGTTTCAGAGAACCACCTTAACTTCTTCCTAGCTCCTCACTGGGATGTCTGCCTTGGCATTGTATACCTTGGGAGTGACTTCTAGCTCCTGGGACTGCATATATGTATTTTACAGATTTAAATGTGGAGATAGCTAAGGTAGATGGAAGTCTCGGATATTAGCCTTGGCTCATTCTTACTCCGATCTGAAGAGAGCTCTTACTACTTCTCCCTCTTCCATGTTTTCCTGCTGACTGTTGTGCAGAGATCACAGATGAATCTTGGAGTAGGTCCATCGCCTTGTATCATTCCACACCAAAAGTTTATAATATTATTTGTAAGCTTTTCCTCTGGTGGGTCTGGAAATACTAAGAATGGAAGAGTTGAAGTAGTCCTGGCTCGTGTGCCTCAAAGCGTAAGCTCTTATAAAAGGGGTTGGAAGAAACGGCCCCTCTCAGCGGGTCATTCTGCACACACGGAGGTGAGCAGTACAGTTCTCTGAGACTGCCTTCAATGTGGAGAACTTTGCACGTGGTAGGTTGATTGTCCTCCTCCTCCCTGTACCTATCCTAACAGCCATGCTCTGTTCTTTCCTAGTGGTGGCCATCTATGACTACACGAAGGACAAAGAAGATGAGCTCTCATTTCAGGAAGGTGCCATCATTTATGTCATCAAGAAAAACGATGACGGCTGGTATGAGGGGGTCATGAATGGAGTGACAGGGCTCTTCCCAGGGAACTATGTGGAGTCGATCATGCATTACTCAGAGTGAAGACTAGAGGACAGAAAACTGCATCTCCTGCTGCAGGAGCTGTCAGGGCTTCCCAGATCTCCACCAGCCTCTGGGGCCCCATCCAGTATAACTGAATGAAGGATAATTGTAACAACCACTCTTTTTTTCCTTTTTTTTTTTTTTTTTTTTCTTCTCCCTTATAGCATCTCTGAATTTAATAATCAGATAATCAGCCAATGTAATGTTGGACAGGGGGGCCAGTGGGCTAGATAAAGAGAACAAGGAGCCAAGTCGCTGCGAGATGTAACATCTACATTGCATTGCTTTTCAGACCTGCCAGGTCCCATCTGCTGTGCCCCAGACCCCAGACCCCTGCTGTGCCCCAGACCCCAGACCCCTGCTCTGCCCCCCTGATTCTCCCACCGCCGGGGGGCAACTCCATGGCCTTGGCTGCTCCGGCATCTCACAGGCCTGGGGGGGAG